GTGCAATTTTTCCCCCCTTCCTACCAACCTTAATTTCCAGTTAGCTAGATGTTCCTGATCCCAAACATGCAAACTGTCTCACAGGGTATCTCCAAAAACTACATTCCCTACAGCAGGGTCTGGTTTCTGCTTTTTTGATCTCTGGGGGGATTCCTTCTTTTGGTGAAGAGAAGGATGGGCTATTGGTATAAATCAGAAACAACATTCTTGGCTGTACTTGTTTGTAGAGGGCAACCCAGAACATTCCTCTGCAGATACCAAAATGGGGTTTTATTTTTCCTCTGTTAACTGAATGCCACATATATATATATATATTCCCCCATCACCAATAGGGGTATATATATATGTGTGTGTGTGTACAGTGGAATACGGATACTCCTCAATTACAGCCATTCATTTAGTGAGCCTTCCAAGTTAACAACACCGTACTTATGACCGTATTTCATACTGATGACCATTGCAGCATTCCCCTGGTCACATGTTCAAAAGTCAGAGACCCTTGGCAACTGGCTCGTATTTATGACGGTTGTGATCCCCTTTTGCGACCTTTTGGCAAGCAACGTCAAACCAGGTTCACTTAATAACCAAGTTACTAACTTAACCTCTGCAATGATTCTCTTAACAACTGTGACAAGAAAGGCCATAAAACGGGGCAAAACTCATGTAACCCCTGCCTCGCTTAGCGGCACAGATTTTGGGCTCAATTGTGGTTGTAAGTACAGTTGGCATCTCTTACCCACAGGGAGAGGTTTAACATCTCCCGTCATTCTCAACCGCGGCCATGGGAATTCTGGGAACTGGAGTCCCCACAGGCCTGAAATGCACCAAGTTGAAAGAACCACTATACATGTATGTAACGCTAATCTGACCGTGATCTTCAAACAGTACTCTCTGCCAGCTATTTATCCTTCTTGCAGGCCTATGAAAATATGTAAAAAGAGACTTCTTGAGTTTGGAAAAGGCACTTTCTGAGCAAAGGTGAGGTAAAAAAAGAAAATCAACTTGTAAATGAGGAAATTCCAACAGGATGCTCCTTACTGTGTACGTCCAAAGCCACAAATGGGTATTTGGTTTAACACAATGGCATGGCATTACGGCTTAAGAGAGTAAACCCAGCCAGAGCCACACATTCCATTAAGTCCAAATAGCCTGGTTGATGCATAACTAAGCTATAAATCATGGCTTACAAAACATAACGACTAAGTTTGCATGATTACACTAAGCCAAAGCTCGATCTAACTCAGTGCAAAATAAATCCTTCCTCCCCAAAAAAGTATCTTGGCTTAGTATTAGAAGCAGATTCAATACAGCCTGGTGATTTAAGCAGCCATAAGGCTCCAGAATGTTTGTGTTAATGTAACTTGCAGGAAAGCACAGACAGATTAGCTCAAAAGTAGACAACCTGATATCTTTTTCATGTGTTAGGCATCCACTCAAGCTCCTTGAACCAGCATGCCAGTGACAAAAAAAAAGCTGTAAAGGAAAGCACTTCAAAATACCGAGAAATTGAGTGTTCTGCAAAAGAAAGGGTTCTTTTTTTTTTTTTCCAGACACATCAAACAAACACAAAGTAGGAATCAGCCAGGCTCTTGTCTGCAGTTGTTCAAAAAGTAAGTATATCATGGAAAAGGGAGAAAACCCAAGAAAAAGAAACACGGGGAAATAAACATACCACGCTTTTGAGGGTGGGAGAAAGCACAGAAGAACGAAGTCCAGAAGTGGCTTTATACAGAGATTTCAAAGTCCATATGGGAAAGATTAATCCCAAGAAAAAGAAAAGAAAAACGTTTAAATGTTCAGGAAGTGCCAAAAGAAATAGGCTTAACTCCAACAGTAAATAATAAATAAAATAGAGATCAGGGTTTCGCAACTGGGTGGACTTCCAACTCCCAGAATTCCCCAGTCAGTATCACTGACTAAGTAGACACAGTCCTCAGTTTACAACTGTTTGATTGGTGGCCATTCGAAGTTACAATGACAGTGAAAAAAGTGATTTATGACCATTTTTCACACTTACAACCACTAAGCACCCCAGTGGTCACTTGCTTGGCAACTGGCATGTATTTATGGTTTATTCTCCAGATGATTATATGCTGCACTATAACAACTATTCTCTTGGCTCTGTGTTGGATAGAGACAGGATCTGATGAGCAGGACAAAAATCATGGAAGACAGTACGGTAAACAGAGAGGCAGGTATCAAGGCCTTCCCAAAATACAAGCGCTTACAGCCAAATTCAAGCATTCGAACAAAGCCCAGCTCTGCAGAGGAAGAAGCTTAAAACCAACCTCCAAGTCTACCCTATTCTCACAATATAGCTTATAAACTGTAGGGTCTACCTGGCTTGTTTAAACCAAAGCAAAATGGCATCAATTTTAGAATCACGTTAGGAAAATACTTCCAACCTGCATTCTCTTAAATGAGAAACCCTCCACAAATTTTATGGTAGATTGGGGGGTGGGGGGGGGGGAGAGAATGAGAAAGGAAATCACAGAAATGCTTTTAAAAGCCACAAAGAACCCTAGCTGTCCACTATTTGCTCTTTGCCTGGAATAAGAGTGCACGGGGTTGGATTAAATGACCTCGTGAGTGCTTCCAAGTAATCTTTGTTCCTTTTAGAAGTCATTCCCACCATTTTGGGATCAGCATCTCTGAAAGTGATGGTTTACGCGGCAGAGGTAGAAAAACACGCGTTTGCTAGGAAAGGCCCATTGAAGTTTGTACTCCTGAGTCACCAAAAGGATTCCTGACAACCCCGACCACTTTTTAAAAAATAAAAACGCTAGGACTTACCATGAAAAGTACAACCCCCTCCCTCCTAATACATCCTTTTCCACTGTCCCTCCTCTTCCTATTCATACCCAGGAAGGACACGCAGGCAACTGCTACTTTTAGCACATGATTAGCCAAAGAGAGACAAGCTATTAACACTGCATCCAGGCCGGTCTATGAGAGATAATGTGCAGTCTTTAGACTCCAATGTTCTGACAATAGCTCTCACATTGAAGCTCTGGGAGATGAGAGTGGTGGAGGAAAGGGAAAGAAGGTGGGGGGAAGTCCCCCAGAAAATGGCTTCCTCTTCTTCAAAAAGTGGAAACTCAAGAGCAAACACAAGGAGGAAGCAAGGATTTTTTTAAAAAAAAATTGTCTCTTTGTTCTGCCCCTTTTAAAATTTATTTATTTTTTATTGTTATTGATCCGGCTCGTTTGTGGCTCCTTTGTGGCATGCTTTCCGGCAGGCTAGTGGCCTCAAAGTTGTGTGTGAGTGGGTGGGTGGGTGGGTTACTCCAAAATAAGATGCATAGGAATTTAAAGAGAAAACCCAGTGTCCCCACTTCCACCTGCCTGCCTGCAGCAACCAAGTGATTTTCTACAGATTTGTAAATTCCCCATGATTCAGAGGGGACTTGACAATCCTGCACCATTGCAGGGCTAACTTAAAAATTATCCTTTCTTTTGCATTTCACTATTGTTTTGTTTTTTTAAAACAATGGGGAGGCAGATTCAATCCACCAGATTTATTTATTTTTTCAAGAGACCCCCTAACCTTTCTACTTTATTCCCCAGGCCTGGTGCCAAGGCATGGCTTCTGCACTGTGCCACTTTCTCACCCAACCACCAACCTCAGGGATTCTGGGAACTGAACACGGTTTGCAAATTAAATAAAGAGGATATTGTACCCTTGTCCTCTCAAGCTGTCTGGCTGGGCAGACTCCCCAGTTGCTTGGCATGGTTGAAAAGTAACTGTGTGGCAGCCTAGACTAGGACACATTGATTTCCGGAGTGTATATTTAACCCATGTACAAAAATTGTTGGCAAAGACAGCCACAACCAGACAATGCTGGGCATCAAAAAATAAACAAGTCTGTGCACACATCCTAAACCCCAATCACATTTATATGTGCCCTGAATCAGTACAATCGGAATAACTCGTATCACGATGTCTTTATTGATGGGTTAAAATTTCTCCCTATGTGAAATGCTAGAGACAGACTACTGGAGGGGGGGGGGGGAAACAGCTTGGATTTCTTGAAATCAGCAATAATGGATAATATGACAATTCTCTCCCCTGTTTGGCAAATTGGGAGGGAAAGAGATCAATTAACTGCTTTTTTTTCTTTTAAACTTCATGCACTTTATAGAGTCCTGAGGTTTGTGGCAGGTCGATGAAAACTACAGACTACGCAACGTAATTCTCCATTTTTAAGAAATGCCACTGCAGCAGAGCAAACCTTTCTGTGTGCCCTATGTAAATTTAACCATAAAATACAACACAGAGGGGACAGACCAGAAACCAGAAAGGCAAGTGCATGTAAGAATGTAGAAAGACACAATGGCTAATAGCATATTTTTCTTTCACCCAAGGACACAAGGCACAACTTAATCCCAGTTTTGAGACCCTGGCAAACGTTCTCCCAATTAAAAAAGACAAAATGGTTTATTTTGATAGAAAGTCACTGCATTCTGCTAGTTCCCAATGCAGAATCTCCCAAATCTGTATCTCTCCATTTATTTATATTTTTTATATATCAGAACCCAGAGTTCTGATATATCCCCTTTTTTTTTGGGCACATCTGTAAACCTCATTTACATACCAAGGGTTCTGCTTCACCCACATTACTGCAAACTGAGTTTTGGCACAGCGTAAGCCTCTGCTGTGTGCACAAAGCCAGTTTTGGAGATACACACACACACACACACACACACACACAAGCCTCTTGCCAGAAGTACAGCTGCATGCTTACTTTTAAAAACCAGCCTTTCCCATCCCAAGGAAAGGCATGTAGATTGGATCTATACTCCATCTTTTTACCCACACAAGAAGTCGAGACAACTTGCTTCCAAATGGAAAAGAGACCATCTGGCACAGCGCAACTGCCTTAAAGCAGATTCCAAGAACATTATCAATCTATGCATTTCAGGATTCATTCAGGGTCCTCTCAGAAGTCATGTTAATTCCAGAAAGCTCGGAATACCACAAGCCCAAACCAGGTAGCAGGCTACGAAAACTGACCCAGGCATGACATAAGGAAGTTTGAAGGGTTGGGAATATCCCCTCTGCCAAGAGGTAGATGCACCAAGCAACCTTGCCCCTCGCAAGGACTTTGGGTTTACAGTTCGAATCTCTCTCTTTGAGGTCTGCTGAAATAGCCTGGCCTGATCCTGAAGCCACCTCTTAGTTTCCAGTTATGGCCAGCCTCCTCCTTTGAAGGGGGGGGGAGACACAAGCCCCTCATTCATCCCTCCCCGCCCCCCAAAATAGAGACCCCCCTGGCCTCCCCCCAAGCCCTGGCTCACCCTGGGCGCCTTCCTCTTGTACCGATGGCTGTAGTCAAACTTCTCCTTCATCTCGTCCAGGCACTGGCTCAGCCTGGCTTTCTCTTCCTTGCTGGCATAATCCTGGCTGAGGAGGATGTAGGCTCGCCAGTTGGCCGAGTCGAAGCCCCAATGGCAAGTTCGGTTCTCCAGGGCTTTGTGGGAATGGATGACAAACTTGTGCGGCGGGTACATGAGCCGGCAGTCGAGGCACTGGATGCACGGAGAGCCCGGGCTGCTGTAAAGCTCGGGCACCAGCAGGCCTTTGCATTTGCCAAAGCACTCGTGGTAGATTTTGAAGCTCCGCTCGGTCAGCTCCAGTTCCAAGGCGCTGCCGGCGCCGGCCAGCTCTTTCTTGCAGCGGCCGGGCGGGAAGGTGCCCCCGTAGAGTAAGGCGTTGCAGAGCCGCTCGGCGTCGGTCTTGGTGATGAGGCCGCAGGAGGGCGCCGAGAAGGGCAGGATGCCCATGACTTTGAGGATCTCCAGCTGGTCGGCGGTGCAGCGGGAGCAGTAGACGTGCAGCTCGTCGCAGACGGCGTTGATCTGCTGCAGGGAGAAGTCGCGCAGCACCGAGTTGAGGATCTGGGGCAAGCAGAGCCGCTTCTCGCCTCCCACCACGAAGCAGGAGATGGTCTCGCCTTCCAGGACCGTCTCGCAGCGCTCCGTCGAGCGGTCCGACGGCATGAAGAAAGGGCCCGGCATCACCGGAGGCGGCGGAGGCGGGATGGGGGGCAGAGGCGGCAGCGGCGGCTCGGGGGCCACGGCGGCGGCGGCAGCGGCGGAGGAGGACGAGACCACCGCCGCCGCCGCCGCCTCCTTGGCGCTCTCCCGCTTGTAGAGCTCCTGAGCCCAACGCGCCGAGAAGGCGGCCGGGCCGCCCAAGGAGCTCATGGAGCTCAGATGAAACTGCTCCAAGGTTTTCTGCAGCCCGGGGTGAGGCTGGAAGCCGCTCCGGGGAACCGTCTCCATCTTCGGCGGCTTGCCGGCGGCCCCGCCGCGTCCCTGGTTCCTGCGGCGCCGAATCTTTCCTTTTGCCTGGGGCACCGCGCGGAAAACGCGCCCCGATTCCAGCCTCCGGGGTTGGTGGGGAAGAGCGTCTTGCTCGGGGCTGGCTCTCCCCAAGAAGGGCGGCGGTGGTGGGGTTTCAAACACAGCCCCCTTCCCTCCCCCCCCGACACAAGCCGCCCTCCCGCTTCAGATGGGACGCCGCCGCCGCCGCTGTCCTCTTTAGAAACGCCGACGGGGCGAGAGAGAGAGAGAGGAGCCAGCGAAGCTCACATCTCCCGAGCTTTTCTTCCTCTTGGATGCTGCTGCGCGGGGCGCTTCTTCTGCTTCCCCCAACGCCCCTCTCTCTCGCCTCTCCCAAGTTTTCAGAAGGGAGGGAGAGAAGAAAAAAAAAAGAAGAAGAATTCCTCGCTCGGCCCCGCAGCCAAACCAGCCCAAGAGCCAACAAGAGGGGAGGGGAAAGAAAGCGAGAGGGAGAACTAGATCTTCGGGGAAGGGGCGGGGGGAGAGGGAAAAGTTATAAAAAGAAGGGGGCGAGAGGAAAGCGCACCCGGACGAGCCAGCGAGGTCCACGCGACGTGGGGGGACGCGCAACTCCCCCCACCCACCCCACCCCCCAAAAAACCACCCTCTCTCCCCCCCTCCACCCCCCAAAACAAGCCAGCAGGAGGATAAAAACCGAGCTGGAGGAGGGGAGGGAGGGGAAAAAAAGGCAGGAGGAAGGAAGGCTGTTAGTAACCCTGGGGCGCGTCGTCCCAGATCCAAGCAGCAGCTCCTGGCGGCGGGGAAGCCGGTGCCTTTCTGTCCATGTCCGCCCAGCGAAGGGAGGGTTCCTTGGTCCCGGATCGTCCCCTTTGCCCAGCAGCGGGGGCTTCTTCCTCCGCTGGAACCGGGAGGGAAGAAGAAGAAGAAGAAGAAAATCCTCCCCAAAGCGCTGCGGCTGCTTGTCTGCCGCGATTCCCGGGGTGTCCCTTTGATCGCTGCTGCGCCTTCCGTCAAATCAGGCTCGGCGGAACGGCGTCCAAGGGGCCCTGATCACTTTCGCTCGCCTGGCCGCTCCAGCCCGGACTGAGGACGCTCGGGCGCTGAGCTCATGCGGGCGGGCGGGCGATCTGGCTGGGCGCTTCTGCTGCTGCTGCTCCTCCTCCTCTCCGTCCGCCGCCGCCGCCTCCTCCTCCTCCTCCTCCTCTGTTTGTTGGTGTCTGCTCAGCTCTTGAATGCCAGCCAAGAATGTGACCAACTCCCCAGGCTGGGCTCTTCCAGGAACCGGCGCCTCCTCCCTCCGGCTCGCCTCTCCTCCTCCTCCTCCTCCTCCTCGTTCCGCAAAAGGCGAGCGGAGCCACGCACATGCGCGCGGGCGCTCACAGACAGAGAGGGAAAGGGGAGGAGGGGGGGGGGAACAGCAGCAGCCCGGCTGGACGACGAAAGGCTGCCAAGAGGGAGGGTAAAAAGCCTGTGGTTGCCAGACCTCAGGCCTGCGCAGAAAGACGAGCGGCAGGGCGGGCTTTGCGCTCGACTGCCCCGAGAGGGGTTTAAAAGGGTGGGTGGTGAATAAATGGGGTGGGTGGGTTTGAGCTGCAGGTGGAAACACGTGGGATGCTCAGGCATGCAGGCAGCCCACCCAGCCCAGGTGGAAGGGGGACAGGTGGGTTACACACAAACACACAGAGAGAGAGAGAGAGAGAGCCTACTAATATTCCTTAGACAAGATGCTTTGGCTGGGATTCATCCTGGCTCTCTTTGCACAAAAACCTCCCCTGGGCGGGAAGGAGAAAGGCCAAATCTGTTGCTCTTTGGGGGTGGATGCCAAAGTGGCTACTGTGTGTGTGTGTGTGTGTGTGTGTGTGTGTTAGAGCCGGTTCTACCAGGGCTCACGTGTAAAGCATCCTAACAGCCGCCCTTGGGGAGGGGGGAAAGGAAAAGATGGCTAGGGGAGAAGGCCGATCAATTGGAAAGATCTGGGCAAGGCCAGCTTTATCTGGGAAGTAGCAAGGCCTAGTGGTTTGACATGGGCTCAGTCAAAGAAACTCACTGGGGAGAGGGGGTGGGTTCTTCTCAGCCTACCTCGCAGGGCCGTTGTTGGTGAGCTGTCTCGCGAGCAGTGCCTGGACTTCCTGAAGAACTGCAGGATACATACAACGGGGCCTAAGTTAACACGGAAGAAATGACAATAGCCCTTAAGATTTACATACCGCTTCCCAGCCCTCTCTAAGCGGTTTACAGTGTCGGCCTTTTCCCCCTCAATAATCTGGGCCCTCATTTGACCGACCTTGGAAGGACGGAAGGCTGAGTCAACCATGAGCTGGTCAGGATCAAACTCTTGGCAGTGGGCAGAGTCAGCCTGCAATACCGCATTCTAACCACTGCGCCACCCCAGGTCTTATATATTGTGAACCCCACTGCAAAATGCATCCAAGCCGAATTCAGGAGGTGTAATGTTGGAAAGATAACTTGTGCAGGATCCATCCATGAATTGCTTAAACCTCTGAGCTCCCTCCACCTCAGGCAAACCTTGATCATTCATTTAGGGACCGTCTGAAGTTACAACGGTTACAGCTAGCTGTCAGGATTCCGGCTCTTGAATATGTGTGGTTGGTCACAGGCTTTTAAAAGAGGCAGACTCTAGATATCCAGTACAATTCTTATACTGACATATTTTTAATGATCAAGGAGCAATCAATATCAATCGGTATATAAAATCAAGGCCATGCTGTCTTGATTTTCAATGCTGGAGCTGAACACCTCTTTAGGCCTTTCCTTGAAACAGACATATACAGTCATAAATTTGGGCCACACCACACCCCAAAATATATTACGGGTTACTTGATTTGGCCCAGCCATGTTTGTGACCCAGAGTAAAGCAAGCTTCAGCAATATGACACAGTATTTTCTCATGAGGTCAGTGCTGTAAAGCTTTTACATTTGTTACTGTGACACCAAATCAAGATATTTTAATTTATTACTTTATACCTGCAATTAAATGTCGTCAGTTACAGCCTCAGAAAAGCACAACATTTTCAGCGTAATGTTACATAGTAGAGGAATTCTACTATGTATAACTGTCTCACCAAAAAGGCAACATTTTATATTTTGTAAAAGCTACTTTTTCTTGGCCCCAGGTAAACAAACTTTTTCAATGTTACACTATCTATTATTTATTATGGAGCTTTAAAAAAACAAATGCAAAGATTTCCTTGTGTTTTAAAGGCTGGGCAAAATGGGAGCTAAACATGCAGAGATTAAATCACCCATAAGGGAGGAAGAAGCAGTAAACTGGACGTTCTTTTTGAAGATGATATAATTAATTTGCCCATCCTCCTAATATTTAATATAAGAGATGCTCACTTTTCTTTATCACAATTTATAGGATACTCATAGGAAAGATCACCCCCTACTGGTGTGGATTTCAAACTGTGAGATTCTGAGTGTGAATTTTTTTACTTTCTCTCCCTTCAGGGACACAGTCAGTTTACATGATATAATTATTTCCTGCAAATACTACAGGTAGCCCTTGACTTATAGCCACAACTGAGCCCAAAATTCCTGTTGCCAAGTGAACATTTGTAAAGTGAATTTTGCCCCCTTTTTGCGACCTTCCTTGCCAGGTCACAAAAGGGAATCAATCCCATGACCCTGGAACACTGCAACCACCCTAAATAGGAGCTGCCAGGAGTCTGAATTTTGATCACACGGCCATAAGGATGCTGTGACGGTCGTAACTGTGAAAAACAGCCATTAAGTCAACTTTTTTTTCAGCACAGTCAAGGACTACCTGTATTCCACAATATTTTAATCACCTTTTGGAATTTTTTTACTTTTGCTTAGTTCATGTCCCGGGAAAAGCCGTAGTGCCATAATGCTCATTTCTAAAATCTTCAAATCGTTAAAATGTCACCAAGCAGTGTAGAAAACAGATGAAAACAGCAAAAGAGAAGCTGCTTTTTGGGGTTTGGCATAATTCCATGTTATCAGTTCCTGAACATCCATGACTTCAACCCAGTTTGCCTTTTGTCACATATACGTGACTTTTTCAACATCTGGCTTGCCAAGAAGCCACAAATATGCAAACAATCGGCATGATAAGCATTCAGCCGTTCTATCACTCCGACCCAGTAAGTATCTGGATGTACAAATCCAGCTGTTTGGGTTTAAGAAAAGACTTTCTGGAGCAGAAGAAATGGGAGGAAGGTTGAAATCCACGTTTTATGCTGTGGCTGAACCAAGGGGCATGCATCTGACTTGAGAACACAAAGCATCTGAACTCACAGATGCCACAATGCAAGCCTTTGTTTTGATAACAATCCCAAACTGAGATCCAGGAAGAAAATAAGGGAGTTTTTTTTTTTTAACCAACACAAATTTAATGCCCAGAAATGTCAGCAGTGGAAAGGAAAAATATTTGTTGTCTAAAATTTTAGAAGGTGGGGTGTCTCAGTTTATGTCATTAAGCAAATGGGGCCCCTCCAAGAGGTTTTAAACCTTTGCCCCAAAGAGAAGCTAAAAGGAGAAAGTATCTGCCCCCACTTTTGTGAAAGTTTATGGCCAATATTATTCAGATTTCAATGACTTGGAGGTTTTAGGGGTTCAGCCACAACTGCAGCCGTATTTAAGGAGCTTCACGCTCAGCTCCTCTTGTTAAAAAGTCTAATCTTCCATTTCCAGCAGTCTCGGGTAGGTTTAATGTACAGGCAAGTCCTCGACTTACAATACAGTCCCCGTTTAGTGACTGTTCGACGTTGCAACAGCACTGAAAAAAGTGACGCGATTGCTTTTCACACTTACAACTGTTGCAGCATTTCCCCCCCCCCCCCATGGTCACATGATCGACATTCAGACATTTGGCAGCTGGCTCGTATTTATGACGGCTGCAGGGACCCAGGGATCATGTGGTTCCCCCTATTGCAACCTTTTGACAAGCAAAATCCATGGGGAAGCCAGATTGACACTCCACAACCAACAACCGCAGTGATTCCCTTAACAGCTGTGGCAAGCAGGGTCGTAAAATGAGGCAAAATTCGATTAACCAATGTTTCATTTAGCGACAGAAATTTTGGGCTCCATTGTGGCCATAAACCGAGGACTATCTGTATATACTTTCTGCACAAGTTCCAACACAGAAGGTGGATAGGTGGAGAGTTTTCCCCCTCCCCACACCACCCCACTCTCCTTTTGGACACAAAACTGCTTACAGACCTGCCCAAGGAAGTAGCTTCTGCTTTTAGTCTTAAAATCTAAAAGCGATGACACACAGGGAGGTAGTAAAAGGGAGGAAGGAGGAGACGAGACGGTACAAATGATTAAAGCTGCAATTATGGCTGGTTAGGATGAGAATGAGGGAATGGCTGCCCACCACAGAACAGCGGACAAATAAACAGGCTTCACTCCTCTATTTCTATGGCATAAAAAGATGGAAGGGCAGTTATTAATGAGAGGGGGAGTGAGAGAGAGAGAGAGAGAGAGAGAGAGAGAGAGAGAGAGACATTTCTCAAAAGTCCTCTTTCTGTGGGGCTCAACAACCACTCATCAATCCCATGATATCTAGCCTGGTTGACAGGATGTGCCACTTTGCAAAAGAGCACCTATTTTTAA